TAAAACTTTTTCTAGGTAGTGCTCATTTCTTCTCTGCATTTACTATTTAGCAATCTTCTGTTATGTTTATGTGAAGACAAATTAAGTGGGGAAAAAAAAAAAACAGACCAGATGTTATTGTGTGCATGGAATGAGCATTTTCTAACTTTCTGCTTTTTTTTGTAGCTCTTGATATCTAAACTTGAGAAGAATAAAGCGATGAAGGCGGAAGATAAAGCTACAATCATGGAAACTTTGGGCACATTAACTAAAAGCATAACCAAACTGCAAGAAGAGATAAAGGGACTTTCCAGCTGCAGTAACGTTTTACGAACTGTCAAGAGCAAAGCTCAGGTATTTTTTTTTATGTTATCTTTCTAAAGCCTGAATGTGTTCTATTGAGACTTTGTGTGACTTAAGGCTGATTTATACTCAGAAACCAGGTCGTCTGCTTGTCACAGTGAACGTAAATGTGCCCCCGCCCCTCCCGTAGACACTCTGGTGAACCTCTCCAAAATTGTAGGTGACTGCAGACAGTGCCGCAGACAGGAGGCCCCTGATTGGTCAAATCTACGTCCGCTCTACACTATGCGTATTTCCTGTTTGGTACCTTACCGGCTTGTTTTGTTTGTATGACCGCCATTGCAGAAAACGACTCCTGAAGAAGGACCAGCTATAATAGCTTGTTGCGCGCAAACACTTTGACCCTTTTTCCACCTGGATCCCTGCTCCTTTTTTTGCCCTTATGTCGCTCCGTGATCGCACAAACTTGCCCCCACTTCCTCACCGCCTCAACCGTATTGAGACCCACAGGTAGGTCGTCATTGTCCGTCTTTTGTTGTGGCGTGGAATGATATAGCGCAGACCATGCTTCAATATTCGGCATAAATCTAAAATATCTGCGACAAGCTCACTGCGATACACTGCGGCAGGAGTATAACCAGCTCTTTAGTCATTCATAACTGAACAGAGGAAAATCTGCACACTTGTGTGTATTTTCTCCTGTAAGCGATCCGTCTAAAACAGAAGAGACCAATCGCAGCGCTGTAGGCGGTCCCATAATGCAACAGCGCTTTTTGTCTCCACAAGTCAAGACTGCAGGCTCAACTGATGCCCTATTGTCTTTAAAGAGCTGTTTATAAGAGGGCAGAAACAGTTAATCGCTATTAAACAATTATTGAAATAATCCTCAGATAATTTAGTAATCAATCGATCGTTACCTAGAGTGTAGAAACTCCAAAATGTTCCTTTAGCTGACAGAAACCTGCCTTGAGCAGCGATTATACCAAAATTGTAAAAGAAAATGGGTAAACATTTTGTATTTCAGATAAAAATCTTTTTTGTTCTGTCAGTATGCTCTGTCCAGCACTCCGTAAGTGGAAAAGATTGATTTTCACTTGATTTAATTTCAAAAAAAGTATTTTTTAAGGAACTTATTGCTTTCCGATTATGAATCAATTCATCAAAAAAAATAATCGACAGATTAATCGATTTGCTAAATAATCGTCCCTTGTTTATATCGTTACATTTAAACAACTGCCTGCTGTACTAGCTTTTCTTTTTCAAAAGAGGACTTTTCATCACATCCGTGGTTATCTGATTGGTTCTAGACAATTTCCGCTAACTATTTTATCCCACCTTTGAAATCGGGCTCTACCAGCTCCTCTGCAGACTGATATACAGTGTAAGTCAGTCTGGCTCTTCAGGTTACTTCTCTATTTCCTTCAGTGTTATGTCAGTGTTATGTTCTGCTGTGCTTTTCGCCCATAATGATGTTTTTCTATTAACTTTACAAAAGTTGTATTTATATTAACAACCAAATTAGATTTTAAATAAACACAGCTGAATGCACACCTTTTTTTGTTGCAGTTTTTTTTTGTAAAACGATTGAAAACCATCTAACTTTTTCCTTCCAATTCACAACTAGCCTCTGCTTTTTATTGGCTTAACATGAAAAATCCTACTTAGATCAGTTCAAGCTTGTCACTGTAATGGTGCAAAATATGGGAAAAGGCACTGTTTCATCTTTCTTTTTCATTGGTCGATTTAAGTTGCTGAAATGCTGCCTTTTGGCTCTAAATATCGTTCTTCATCTGCTGTGGCTTTCAGGCACAGAAGGAGCTGCTGGATGCAGAGCTTGATCTGTATCAGAAGACTCAGGCTGGAGAGGACACAGCTTTGTTGAAGCTTAAGTATACTCAGCTTCAAATAGAGGTACTTTATTAAACATAAAATCATATTTCTTAATCCTTTCTATGCATTAGCCACATGGTGGCACTGTTGTTCTCATAATTTGAGTATCCTCTCCATATCAATGGTTTGTTTATGCATTTGTCTTTCAGGCAGCTAAAAGGGGAATTCTTTCATCAGGACGAGGTCGAGGCATCCATGTCCGGGGACACGGCTCTACTAGAAGTCGGGGAAGGGGATCCAGAGTTCGGGGAAGAGGTGTTCCAATGCATGCAGTTGTGGACCATCGACCTCGAGCGCTGCAAATTTCTGGTTTTACTGATGCAGACCGTGTGGACATACTTCCACACTTTGCTGTGAGTTGGTCTAAAGCTGTGCCACTTTGTTGTTTAAGTTTTGGTTTGCAGTCAGAGGATCGTCTTGCAGAACTAGTGGAAACTTAAACTCCTTGTTGATTCTTTGTCCTCCCTCACATGACTGCTCAGCTCAGTCTGGTTTCATTGGTTACTGTTTACCAAAAGTCCTTACAGTTTTTATTTGCTGAACAAATCCACACCGTGCAGAACACCATTAGTAGTTCAATGAGACGTATACTTTGAGCAGGGTATATTGTTTATAAGGATGCAGGTTTTAATGATAAGCCTAATCATCTCTTTCTAACCTTTGAGGTTGATATATGGAGGTTTAACACATTTTCTCCTAATTTGAAAAAGTAAACTTCACTTATTCTAAGAAGAGCTAAACAGTTTTAAATTCATGCAGACAAATGTTTTTTTTTTCTGTCATTTGTATTGATTCATGGCAGCTTCTGTATTTGTTTTGGGGGAAAAAAAAGCTTTGCCAAGTTTAAAAATAATATATTTTGTCTACGACTGTAAATACTCTATAGTTATTGTAATTATTGCTGAGAATGGAGGAGCATAAAAATGTTCCATTACTTTTTATTTAAAAAATCCTTCAGAGGTTTACTTGCAGCAGGTTAGTGTTGTTGAACTTTTGTTTTTGTTTTTATATGTAGCAATTTGGAGAGATTGAAGATTGCCAGATTGATGAAAACAAGCTCTCTGCAGTCATCTCATACAAAACGAGGGCGGAGGCCGAGCAGGTGAGAAATCCTTTGGTTGCTCTTTCATTTAAACTGTTGACATTTTTATTTCTAGCTGTGTTGAAGCTGCAGTTAACCGGTTTAATGCAGTAACACCTTGTTTGATCCTTCTTTAGGCTGCTGTTTATGGAGGGAAATTCAACAACCAGACTTTACACCTGGCCTGGCATAAGCCTGCTATAACTCTCAGTGCAGCCGACGCTGAAGAAAAAGAACCAGCAGAGGATGAGGTTGGTGGAACTCCACCTTGCAGCTCCTTTACATTCAGATTAGTGCTTTTCACGATTAAATATTTACATTAATAAATTCCTATGGTTGCATCTCCTAAGACCTGGAAGGATTAAGTAAGCATTTAAATAACTGTTTATGCTGCTAGAGAACAGTAGAGGGAGCCGTTACACATTAAAGATTCTACATGATATTTTGTTCTTTCACTGATACTATAAGATTGAATTATTTCCTCTTTGAGGCCTTTAAAGTGATGCTCTAAAAAATCTACATAATTTTCCAATTTTTTGATTTATCCATAGTAATATTTCCTTTTTTTATCAGTACCCAGAGGAGTCGCTGAGTGATGATGCATTACTGCAAGATGATGATGAGGAGGAAGACAACGAGCCTCGTCCCTGGCGCAGATGAAGCTTTCTCTGATGCTGTCATGGTCTCACTGGTCTGGACCAAGAGCAGTGATCCAGCATCTTTCAGTGCTTCTTTAGACATTTTGAAATGCACATTTTACTGTGGCAAGACTTTTCCTTCCCCGTTAACACATAGCTGAAGAACTTTGTGCAGCCTAATTTTAATATGTAAACCAGATCTGTGCTGATTTTATTTGAATGCTCTTACTGTAGATTTTTTTTTTCCCCACAATGCGTTAAATCTGGTGACTCAAAGACACATGAGTTGAGTACTCAAATTAAAAAGTTGTTTTGATTTAACTCGATAACAGATGGTAGCTTTTTTGCAGAATAGTATTAAGTTGCTTCTGTGTAAATATTTTATGTCCTGGTTTGTAATTTGTATGAAAGCTTGGGCTTTACTTTGGATTGTACAAAAAAAAAATAAAGAAGTTGAAATGGTCTGGAAACAATCTGCCAGAAAAACAAAAAAAACAAAAGAAAAGAAATACAAAAAACAAAGCTGGCAGTGTGAAAAAATATGCTCCGCAAAAGGAGCTGAAAAAAATAATAGACCATTTCAAAAAACAAAAAAAAAACCTTCCTCTTCACCTTAAGAGCAAAATTCCTAAAAAGATTCCTTCAACTGTACGTTCTTAAAGTTTGGAGCGGTAAGGTAATCATATTCCCCTTATGGAAAGGTAAGAAAATCAAATGTTTCATTAATCTATGTCTTCTGTATTCACTAATTAAGGTCTTTTTCTTCTTCTTTCAGAGTCAGCAGTTTCCAGCCATATCACCCTGCCCCACAAAGCCCTCACCTTTTTTTTTTTTACACATTTCATCTTGTAAATACTGTCATAATACCCGTTTTGTACAAACAACTGGTGCTTTCATTGAAATTACATTTTTCACACAAATTTGTTCTGTTTGTCTAGAATGTTGCCTATAGGGATTTTATGCAAACATTAACAATGAAAGAAGTTTGATTTAATCTAAAATGTGTAATGTGCTTGAGAGGTTTCACAAAATAAGCATCAAGAAAATATTGTTGGCTCATTTGGTTTGGGATATATCTGCCCACAGGTGAACAGATTAATTAAAACGCTCCAATGTGGTACAAGAGAACTGGTGAAAGCCATTTTTTTTTTATTAAAAACCTTCCAAAAAGGTTTTAACTTTATAAATACAGTGAAACACTGAAAACTTTTCTTATTGACAATCAATCCCATTAAAAGTTGTCAAGTTTTAGATCTCATGGGCTTTATAAAGAGTACTTCTGGTTGCTAAAATATTTTGAATGATATATTACTATTCATACCTTAAGAAGATGACAAGGCTTTTAGAGTCATTTCTGAATTGTCAAATGCTGAATTGACTTTTGTAAGCTTAAGAGAGTTTAATTTTAAAGTTTTTTTTTTTTTTTCAAAAAAGATTAACTTTACTATAACCTTATATTTAAAAAATGGGATTTACAACCTGATCTTTTTCTGTCTGAAGTATCTAGGTAAGGGCCTTCCCTGCATGGCTGCATACTGTAGCTTTTCCCTTTAGTGGCGTCTACTTGTGTGTCTGAATTTTTAACATTAATTATACTCAAATTACTTTATGTTGTTAAAAATGTGTTCAGTGTTAAGTTAGACCACTGTATTTTTTGGTATTGTTTTAAAAGGAAAAAAACTGTATAAAAGTGGATTTTTCTGTGCATATTTTGTAGCCTAAGCAGTTTGCAAAGGGGCCCAGTGGCAGGCCAACACTCATTATTAGTTAACTAGCTGTTTTTGGACCTTTATTTCTGAGTATATGTAAAAGTAATACAGCTTTTTAGTACAATTATTGGTTACTCTGTTCAACATGGCTACAACTTTTCCATTCTCATTGAGCTAGCCCCACCTGGAACAGAACCAGCATTAGAAGCATTAAACTTTCACAAGAAAATTTAAAATGTGCTTTTTCTTATTTAATATAAGGAGGAGAATATATTTTTTATTTCATTTGGAAATTAAAGTCACAGAATCCAAAGGAATGGGATGTTTCCACAATCTGATGGTTTTAGATTCCTTTATATAAACAAGCTTCTGAGACCACTTTTTTAAATTAATTTTTTAGGGATAAACTGACCAAGAGGGCAAAGCAAATGCAAGTTTAAAGAAAGTTGAATAAGAATATACTCATTTGAATACATCTCAGATGGCAAGATAACAGTTTATTGAGTGCAACCATAAAAACCAATCATGCTTTTCACTATTTCATTTAGATTTGAATTACCTCAGAGATGAAAGAAGTGGTCAGAGCTGTGAACACAAGAATGTCCTTGGTTACAATCCATGTTTGGGATGTTTCTGCATGGGGTTTGTATGCTCATCATTTGCATGCGTGTGTTCAGCTTACTTTCATCAGACTTTTAAGATAACTGGCCACTCTAAACTTCCCTGAGACTGTCTGCATAGTTGGTTGAGTGGCACTGTAGCGGACTGGTAACCTGTTCCAGGTGTTCTTCCCCTCTGTGACCCTACAAGAGTTACAATGGATGAAAATCAGAATTCCCTGGGATCCCAGGCATTACGTATGAAGACGCTGACTCCAGGATCCTATTCCAATGAATTTGCTACTGCAGCACAGGGACAAACAGGACAAACAACCATTCACACTCACACCTAAGGAGAATTTAGAGAAGCCAATTAACCTATCAGTCATGCTTTTGGACTGTGGGAGGAAGCCAGAGTACCCGTAGAGAACCCAGGCATGCTCAGGGAGAACATGCAAACTCCATTCAGAAAGACCCCAGGCCGGAAATCAAACCCAGAACCTTCTTGCTGCGAGGCAGCAGAGCTACCAACTGCTCCACTGAGCAGTCCCCTTTTTGAATATATTCCTTTGAAATTTCTCATAGTTGTTTCATGACAAGTAATCGTCACAGTGCTGCTAACTCTAAGTAAAGGCAGCTAAATGAAGCCAAGTGTATAATTTTAAACCACTGCCTGCTTGCTTAACATCAATGGTTTTGTTATAACTAACAAGTCTTTGCTTTCTTCTAAACATGAATTCTTAATATTTGGTTTATAGAGGTAAGTCTATGTATTTTCAATCCCTAAGCCTTGAATATAAAAGGAAAAATAACCCAATCAGTGTCCCCCAGTTCATTGTTTCCAGACCCCCCCTGGTGTCTGTCAACCACGCAAGGATAATTGTGAGAAATCAGATTTGCTGTCTATTGTTTATCACCTATATCCTTTCCTCCTGGAAAAGGCCTCCCCTCATCTCTTCATCTGCTGGTATGTGGGTGTGAACAACCCCCCCCCAAACCTCTTCTGTCATTTACCTACTGTGGAGCCACCAAACTCCAATGAGCAGGATTTTTGGTTGCCTCAGCCTTGGTGTTTTACCTGCACGCACACTTGTTTTTTTCTATTTTGTCATGTGTCAATTTAAATATAAAGTTGTTTTATGAATATCCACATAAATAAATGCAAAGGTTCGATGGAATTAGGAACAGCATGCAGTAGTCTAAGAGCTTTGCCCCCCTTTGTGTCTCAGCAAGCAGAGAGCCTTCATGAGATCCACAGGAGCTTTAGAAATATGGATAACAAGTTTACAATGTCTGTGTCATCAATTATATAAATCTTTATTTTCAGATTTGTGTCAAGGAGACAGATGGCATCAAATATTGGACGGGGTTGCTATAACGTTTTTGAGTATGTTAAAAACTGCAGAGAAGATGTGCAACAACAACACAAAAAAGTCAGGCTGGACCACATCTAAGCTAATGTGAAAATGGAACAATAAGGATTTTTTTCCCCATATGGAAGCTTTTTCTCCTGCTTTGGAAGATGATCTGTTAGTTTCTTTCCATAAGTAAGAGATAAGGGACACATATTTTTCAAAGACTGTATTTGCTTGGAGATTTGTTGTTTTCAGTTTCCTTTTGAAGCCCTCAGGGGCCTTAAGAAGTCGGTCATACACAGATGTAACAAAAAAAAAAGATAAGCAACACTGAATGCTTTGTAATTTATTTAGATTTATTTAAATATCATTGCTGAATTTTCATAACAAAAACACAGCTTTGTGCCACTTAATCCCAATTACTCTTTAACTAGTTTGATCTTTTACTAAATGTACCCTAATGGATAAAAAAATGTATTTTATATTGGTCATTTACCAGGTTAGGTTTAAGATGTGAGGAAGGTGTATCGGATTCGAGCCACTCCTTCGCCAACATCTTAGTGCTTTCACATGCCATGCCCCCCTCTCTACAATGCCAACTCTCTATGAGGCTATTAATATTTTATGTGATCATGGGCCTCCATAAGCAAATTTCAGTCCCCAGCAAGTTGAGCCAAAGCATGATTAATTTAGTATTTATACCCCGACAACCCTTTAAAAAACACAGGGCCCCTGGCCGCAAAGCAAGACACAGTTTGAAACAAAACCAGCAGCCTTTAAATCATAATCAGTGCGTCGTTATTGGGGATTATTTCAGTTTGGGGACATATTTCTTTCTCTGTGAGCCCAGTGGCAGATGCAGAATGGCTGCATAGTTGCGGCTGACAGTTACAGTTGTAAAGCATCATCGCTTAACTCTGTGTAATTATTCTGCTGCAAGACATAATGCTGTTATTTTCTCCTAAAAACCCCTCTACACCATTCTCACTTTGTCTAGAAAAGTTGGGCTGTTTAACCTGTTCTGCTGACCGCAGACAGTGGGGATCTGTCGTGGCTGCAGCACAAAATTGTTTTAGAAAGTATTCCAATTTTGGTAACACTGACTGATTTATATACTAGTAAATTACCGATTATAAAATACTCAGATTTAATCTCACATTTTTTTTTATACTTGATATTTCTTCATTTTTTTAAAGTGCAAGGCTGCACTTTTAAAAAAAAGATGAAATTGTCCCGAAAGCTGTGACAAATAAAATCTGTCTTAGTCTAAGTCTAAAAAGTCTAAGTGTAGTTTAAAATGTAGTTAGTGGTATCTTGAGAATTCTTCATTATTATTATAAATGGTAAACTTGTGAAATACATGTAAACTGATATTAATCCAAAATCGCAGAGAAATTCTTCTGTATGCTGGTACCTAAACATTGGACCATGGTCTTCTTTTGTTTGCTTTGTTTTTTAAACTGAGACAAATATTTTAATAGAAAGTAGTGCTTTCAAATCTTCAGATATTAAACAGAAAATGGCTAGAAATCAAAGCAATTAAATAATGCATCATTTTCAACATCACTGAAATAGTTCAACAGTCTGACAAAAATCTTTTGTATCTTAATTCTCTTGTTCTTGATGTTATGGTACAGTGTGTCTGATGGCATTAGTTCAAAAAGTTGGGAGCCTTCTTCCGCTCTGGGATAAATTTTAACAGAGGGTAAGGATACTTAGATAAAGCTCTATTTCCTCTCACTATTCTCTGCTATTGTCACCATTTTTGCAACACTACTATGTTGAGACAACAAGAGTCAA